CCCCAGCCAGCTTGCTGGTTGGGGAATTCTGGGAGTTGAAGTCCACACGTCTTAAAATTGCCAAGGTTGAGGAACACTGTCCTAACTAGTCAATAATCAGGGTTTTTCTGAAAATTGGGAAAAAATTGTTTCCTTCCTCTTCCCCCCATTTCCCCCAACTTAATCCTGGAGTGGCACGTGTCCACAACAGAAGGAAGGTAGTTCCAGAGGACTCATTTCATTACCCCAGATAATATGTCCTCGGCATGCAGACAAAATATGCATTCCCCCAAGGGAGACAGAGAATCCCTGCAATTCTGCAGTGTCTTTTTTTCACACTAGAAACAATGAGTGGAATTATTGACCAGGCACTGTGAATGAACAATGGATACAGATTAAAATGTGGTGTGCTAAGACTTTCTGCTATTTCGCTACCAACAATAGGGGACCTCACGTTCCTGAGCCCGTGCCGATATTTCTGAACTACATCTTTCCATAGAATCTGTTAGCGTGGCCATGGGGGAAGGATGGTGGGAGAAGAAGGATGTGGCATCAACGTGCTCAGAGATTCCCCATTCCTGCTCTACACTCTGTTAAACCTTTCCTCTGAAATTGTGCCCCTGAATCTCACTTACGGGCCAGTGAACAAGCATAATTTTATGTTGAACTGCCAGTCTGCACATGCTTTTCAAGCTCTCTGAACATGAAGTCTTGCCTTAATCATGGATGCTCCTGGATGACTTGGGCCAGTCTCTGTTTCTCATCTATCCAACAGGGTTGTTGTGGGGGGAAAAAAGGGGGAAGGGAGTGCTCTGTATGCTCTCTTGGGAGAAAGGTGGGATGTATATAAAATAAAATGTAACTGTTACCTACTGGCATGGCTGTCTGCCAGATTGACTGTGGATTATTGAAAAGCTTCTTGAAATTTCTCAAAGCAATAGAAAGTCAACATGCTGTCATATTTCCCCGTTTCCTTAAATATATCTGATGCAATACACTTGCTGAAGTATTCTGTTGGAATAAGTCTTCACAGGGTACAGGGCGGTTCCTTCGTCTGAACAATCTAGAGCAGCGTTTTTCAAACTTGGCAAGTTTAAGATGTGTGGACTTCAACTCGCAGAATTCCCCAGCCAGTGGCTAGGGAATTCTGAGAATTGAAGTCCACACATCTTAAACTTGCTAAGTTTGAAAAACACTGCTCTACTGCAAAAAAAACCCTTTGATAATACGTTCCTTACTGATTAAAAATCTGTGGTTCTGAGAAACATGGAAATGCTGGACCATGGAGGGTAAAACAAGGTGAGATGCTCATCTAAATGATGCTGTTGCAAAAAGTAGGCCATAAGGGTACAACCTGTGGCCCATCAGGGTGTCAGATAAGACCCCACTTTCCTTCCTCCAGATTCTACTGTCCATCAGCATTAAGTCCCCATATTGCTGCCCCCCACTTGATAAATGAGCTCTGCATGTATGAGAGAAAGAAAATGGGTTGGATATTGGGGAAAACCTCATACAGCAGTTACAGAGTTACCTAATTAAATGTAAAGGAGCAATAGTATTAATAATATTAATTGAATTGTTAATAACTGTATCATTCCCTGCCCATTTAGGGAATCCTTGTGGGAGGTCCCTGTTATGGTGTTCAGAGGCTGGCACAGCCTTGGTGTTTATGAAAGTTATGCAAAGTTATGGACCTTTGTGATGAAGGACTGGAATTTTCTCCTCCCAGGTAGACCATATCCTCTTTATTTTCAGTCCAAGTTCCTTCCTGTTTATTTTTCTTTCTTTTTAAATCTTAACAACTGCAGTTTTCAAAGGCAGCATTGAACAACCTTGGCCAAACTTGAAAAAAAGCTAAGCGGGATTGAGGTTGGTGGATGGGAGACCACCTGGACAATCCAGAATGGTAGGGCTTGATTGAGAAGGCAAGGATCCTAGACAAAGGGACAGACAACTGGTTCTGTCCTGTTGCCAAGGAAATTACATGCTTTGTCCATGTAGTTGAGCTCAACGTGGAGAACTCCTTACTGTTACTAAGCCTTACTGTAGAAAACTTCCTAAATGTTAAATAAGGTTGTGAAAGATTACATGGTAGACTGAAAAATAAAGACATTCTCTCATATAGCAACTGGAAACATCCTCCTTGAGAAACAAGATGCTTTATCCTGCTCAATCTTTGCATCTGGGTAAACCAATTTGCAAGTTTCTCCACTTGCCCAATACGGCACCCAAACACAAATATTTAATTTCGTACAGATTTGAAACTTGACCCATGTTTTAAATGCTTACCTTTAGAGCTTGCAGGCTAAGTTTGACATATAAATCATAATGCAACAATGGCAAAATGTCGCGCTTTACACCTATTTTTTTTCCCCTTTTTCTGAAACGTCTAATATGAGAAGATCCCTAACTGGGAATGTAATGGAGAAGGAGAGGTGAGAGAGGAAGAGGTAGATGTAGGCAGCCTCTTGACTTTGGAAGTGTCATCCTACCTTTATCTATTCAGAAGCAAGTTCAATTGATTTCGTAATGCTTCCTCTATGACGGCTTGAAATCTTACTGCATTAAGCATATGAGGAAGATTTTTAACCA